GCTAAATAAATGAAACAAAGCATCCATTGTTTTATGTTTTGTTTTATTAAAAAATTAATTTATTCCTAATAAAAATAAAACACCAACTTAATAAACATTAATAAATAGGTACTTACCATAAAATAATGCGTTGCCTAAAATCTTATTTTTATAACCAAATGTTATTAATAAACATGCTCAAAATGAAATTTCTGACGGCGAATCGGCGACGGCGAATCGGCTGCCGGTGAATTGTCCCTACGGTGAATGGGCGACGGTGAATCGGCGACGGCGAATTGGCGACGGCGAATTGTCCCATTCCCCAAAGAACAAGTGCACAAAGAAGTTCGGAAATTAGAAAAGCAAAAGCAATTGACAGCAACAGATAAATGGAGGAAAGTAGAGGAGATCTTGAGATATATCACAAAACAAAAATTTCAAGAAGACACATCACCTAAAAATAAACAATGTATCAGAGATAAAAGAACTGATGACGGAAAGAAGGGCAAACAAGAATAAAAACGAAAAACAGTACAAAGAATTAATAAAATAATCAAACAGAAAAACAAAGAAGCTAAGGAACTGTGTATCAGAAAAGTGTGAAGAAATAGAAAGGTTAGATAAACAACATGCCAGTTTTAACATACAGCCGAAAATTAAAAAGGCAACTGGCATATACAAGAAGAAGGGTATCATGGATAAAAGAAGAGGTCATGGATAAAAATAACAAGATATTAACGGAATGTACAGATAAAATAAATAGATGGGAAGAATACATAAGAGAGCTATTCAAAGACGACGAGAAAATTGAGGTCATTGAACCAAGAGGAAGAAATGGGTCACTAATCACCAAAGACGAAATTATTATACGGGAGAGATTTCGAAAGAATGGTTAATATCAATATATATTCCAATACCCAAAAAATCAAACGTAATGAAGTGTGAAGAGCACCGGACAATTAGCTTGATAAACCATATTCTAAGTGTTCTTACGAGTGATACACGAACGTATCTATAAAAAGCTAGATGTTAGAATAGCTGAAAACCAATTGGGATTCAGAAAAGGCTTTGGCATCAGAGAAGCATTATTTATTGAACAAACACTAATCGAACGATGTTGAGATGTCAACTGTGACATACTCATATATCTAGTCGACTTCGAAAAAGTTTTCGATAAAGTAAAACACTGAAGAATGGCCAAAACACTGCAGAACACAGAATAAAAATGCGAAAACGTGACAATCATTGCCAATCTATACCGATATCAGAAAGCCATAATACGAATAGACCAACAAAAATCGAAAGAAATACCTATAAATCGTAGAGTAAGAGTGGATGTGTGCTTTCCCCTTTACTTTTTAATATGTATTCAGAAGAATTGTTTAAGGAGGCATTAGAATACAACATTAGAATAGAACAAGGGAAGATGGTAAGCAAGAGGGGACTGGGGAGAAGACGCACGTCCTGGTTGAAGAATGTGAGACAATGGAGTGGGAAAACGTCAATAGAACTTTTCGGAACGGCTGCAAATAGAATTAAATGGGCCATAATGATCGCCAATGTCCTTATTGATGGGGCACGTTAAGAAGAATGGATATGGTATGAACGATATGACAAACTTACGTTTCTAGTCGCATACTATCAATAAACGATGCGAAAATCGAATACTGACTGATTAAATAGTTATTAAGTAATTTTTTCCCTGTTCTAATTTTCTGATTGATTGTTAATCAGTCGGAAATGAACTCAGTGGAATATTTTTAATGGTTTCCAATGAAATTTTTATCAATTTTTTTATTTTATAGACAATTTAACTAACTTAATGATTATGATATAAATAATTTTGCTAATAATTCATAGCTACTGTAAGGAAGTGGGAACATTGGTACCTAATTATAAACAAAATAAATGATATAATTCCACGAGGCAATTGCAAAATCAATTATATTTACACATACGAGCAAATAAAACAACCAACATAATTATAGGACTACTTGAATATCAATTGATATAAATGTACTATTGGCAAAAACTTTCGTCTCGTTACCCGTTTATTATCTACAATTTTGTATTTATGGACTGGTCCAACTAAAAACTTAATTGAATGGTTTCATAACGCGGAACAATATTCAATCAAAAAGATATAAATCATTATGCGGTAGTTAATACTGATTGCTCTTTATTATAGAGTACGGCGATATTTTATGTTTCTGTTAAAATCAAATTCCTAATTATAAAAAATTTAACACGTCTAGTGCCGTATTATAAGAGCCATTGAAAAAAAGCGCATCATCATCACCATCATTCTCTTTGTTCCACATGTACATTAAAAACACCTCCTATTCTGACTTTCTCCTCTGATGGAATATCACTAACAGCAAATATAGAAACTCCATTTCCAGTGTAACTGTTCTTAATTCAACAATTTGTATTCTTCGCCTAATTGTTTCGCCCTTTGTCATTTTCAGCTAATCTCTTGAATGCAAGTACTTTGTAGGCTATTTCTTTTATGACCATTTACTAACTGCACACTCTTACTTGTAAGACATCCAGGATTCCAAGACTCTTTCCCAATTTTTCTAACCTGAAATAGTCATCATCCGGAAATCTGAACGAAAGCTCAGTTTGCTTATGAACATTTTACCTGAGGAGAGACCATCATTTTAGTATAATTTTTATTACATTGAAAAAGGTTTTTTCATTATCATGTCCTGACAGATTTTCGGACTTTTGATGCCTCAATACTTTTATTTCTATAATATCTGATTTTAACAATTTAGCGGAAGGTTGTTTATTCATAATTTCACTAATATAGGGTGTGTTGTCCATGACAATCAAAGATGGTAGGAAAAAAATTGGGTACTTATCCATTTAGTATTTGAAGTTTTTTTCTTTTATAAAATTAAGGTGTAAACAAATTCAGGTAACTCAACCTAAAAAATGCAACCCATGAGCCACGGGCACTGTGTTGAATTATGATTTCTACTGTGCGTACAGGAATCCATTGTAGATTCTAACTCGATGTATAAAATAGTTGCTATACTCCATTCGCTTAGCTCGGGCATATTTTGACAGATTCATTGTCGGAAACCTACAACACAACAATTCCTACTTCTCAGTATAAATAGCTCAAGTATACTACTATTGCAGACTTCTTTCTTTGAAAAAAGAAGAATTATTCTAACTTGTGGAAGTGTATACTAAACCCATTCAATTTTGGGTAGTATATATTTAAAAATATATATTTTAGTTGTTATAATTTAACATAACTATTTATTATATATTATAAACGAAGCAAAAACGAAGTATATGACAGTCAAAAGACTAACTGACAATGAAAATAATATCACAATAGACAACTATACTATCGAACGAGTGGATGACTTTACATATCTCGGCACAGAAATCAATCAGAAGAACTCCGTAAGTAGCGAAATTAATGCACGTATTTCCAGCGGGAATCGTACATACTATGCTAATAAAAGATTAATGACATCGAAATTATTAGACAAAAGAGCCAAAATGACTATCTACAGAACACTGATTGGGACCCGTAGTAAACTATGGATGTGAAATTTGGGTAATGACGAAAAAAGATGAAGCCCAACTCAGGACATTCGAGAGAAAAATACTGAGGAAAGTATATGGCCCGGTACAAGAGGAAGATGGCACATGGAGAATCAGGAGAAACGACGAGGTTAATGAGTTAAATGAAGGTTATGACATTGTAAGATTTGTGAAAAGTCAAAGACTGTCATGGCTGGGACAAGTGCAGAGACAAAACGATGCAAAAACAACAAAGAGAATGTTACAATGGAAGCCCATAGGAAGGCGAAAAAAAGGAAGGCCCAGAACGAGATGGTTGGATGACGTGGAAGACGACCTGAAAACAATGAACATAAGACAATGGAGAAGAAGGGCACAAGAGAGATCTGAATGGAAGGACATAGCCAGACAGGCAAAGACCCATCCAGGGTTATGATGCCAAAAGAAGAAGAATTTATTATATGGTGCAGATAAATAAATATTGATTGTCTGTAATTCGCAATTCAATACTTTTAGTCTGTCAAAAGTAACTAACTTCGCAAAAAAATAATTACTACATTCACTAGACAGTTCGGACTGGGAATAGCGAACCGAGTATAATACACGTATTTGCTCCTTTATGAGACTGGGAAACAATGAGACTGTCGTATAAATTCGTTTCAAATTTGGTGGTTAGAAATTTTCGAAAATAATTCTTATCAATTCTTCGTATGTCCCTAATGACTATATAATTACGATTTTAAAGATAAACAATCGTTGTAAAAGTTAATTTCATTGTCACAAAATATTGTTGGTAGGTAATTGTTTTGTTTGTTTTATTATTATTTTTATCTCCATCACTTGGTGCCAGGGTTTACGGCGTTTTTAACAAATTCATTTCATTTGAAGGTGTATTTATGTCGTAGTCAAATAATATTTTGTTGAAACTAGGGAGTTTTCAACAACAAAATTTCTTCTTCTTCTTCTTCTTAGGGTGCCTGTCCGTTCCGAACATTGGCGATCATTTTGGCTATGATGACTTTGTTGGTTGCTATATGGAATAGCTGTTGAGGTCTTTCTATACCATGCTCTCAGGTTAGCAAGCCAGGATATTCTTCTTCAATGCATTGGAGTATCTCGTATCAGAAGCACTGAGTACACGTAACGTTTAAGGAGCCTTATTTTTGTTTCTAGGGTGAGGTCATGGCTCTTGAACAAAGAGCTCATAGTCAAGAATGTACTTTTTACCTTTCCGATGCGACATTTAATCTCTTGGGTATTTTTCCACGACTCATTAATTATAGTTCCCAAGCAGTTGTACTGTGAGACGCGTTCAATTCTCATTTAGTTCACATACAGATTTGCTCCAGTTATGTGTTCCTTGCTGATGATCATTAGCTTGGTTTTGCTATTGTTTATATCCAGTCCATATGTTCTGCTTGTTTCTACAAAACTTAGTACTTAATAATGTCCAATGAAAACTATTTATTTTGTAGGTTTGATGATGGAAAGCGAAAAGAAAATTTTCGAACTGATGGACCAGAGAACGCCAATGTCAAAATACTGGATGCCGCTTGTGTGGGCTACGAACATCATCAACAGAGCTAGAAAAGAGTCGATAATAGGAAGTGACCATATAGTACAAACGCTTTTGATGGAACTGTCTGATATAAGAAGGAGGCTGGGAGGTTTGATAGGATATGATACTGTTAATGTTCCGTTAGTTTATTCACAAGTAAGTTTAACTAATTAATTACATTGTGTTATCGAGTAACAGCCCATCAAAATTGTTTTGAAAATTATTATTTTTATAAATAAACACGTTGTTTATTTGTTTTTGTGTGCAAGTGGTATGTACCTGAGGTATTATGTAATTAACCTGGTAATTAACAAATAACCATTTAATGAAGATGTTGTTAGCTATTTTAATTCAACATAAGGCATATTAAAGAAGCTCTTTTATAATGCTTGTCTTTTTTAACTATTCTGTACGAATGCGGTATTTAAAAATATTGCTGCATTCCATGAAGATCTCGGTAGTAGAAGTTAATTTTATGTATTAGTAACCAGAATTAGTAAACAAAACATTTAGTAAATCTAGACAATCACATTTAAGAACACAAAAATGCTTATTAGATTAATTTTTTTTAGAATAAAGAAGTAAAATTTTGACATACAAAGTAAAATATTTGAAACATGTTATTTGACTCTAGACTGAAAGGGACTAAAAATTTAAAGTTACATAATTTAAAGTGTTCTCACTCTTAATCTCATCATATCGATCTTTACTTGGTTTTGATAATCGACTTGGGCATTTTTGCCCATTCCTATTTTTCTAACGCATTTCAGTTGCATAAGAGCCTGAATTACTAATATAGGATCCTAGATAATTGAGCTCATAAACCATTTCAAGCTAGTTCAAGGCTAAGTTATTGGCAGTGAGTTTGAATAATCGACTATCATAATTTTTTATTTTTTGTTAATTGATCTTGAGACCACTTCTATTGCCTTAGGTTTCCATTAACTGTAGCAGACATTTTTTCTTCAGATAAAGTTTTTAGATAGAGATACTGCCATTCCATTTGTCAAATCCTTCTCTAATAATAAATCTTCGATAGAAGTTAAAGAGACTTGAAAATAGAAGTTATACTTGACGACCTCCCACACTGACTTTAAAACGTTTGGACTTACAGTTTTCAATTATTATTCTGGTTTCGAGATAGATAGAATCAAATGGGCCAATATTCTTAGGGATGTGGCACGCTAAGAAGAAGAATTCTGGTTTCATTATTGTCGAATAGACACTCGACCAGAGCTGACATATTATCAGGAACTACCACCTGGTGTAGAACATTCCAAAAAACTTCCCAGTTGCAGTATATTTTGTAGTTGCACCTTTCTTATGAATTGGAATAAATAGGCAGTCATTTGCCGATTTTTAATATCTAATTGCACAGTGCCCACATTGATTAGAGACTACGTTTACCCATTGTCTATACAAGCTCAGCTGTGATATCATCGCAACCAGGTGATTTATTTCTTTTAATGAATTTTTACTGAAGACTTTTACTGAAGAATTTTAATTTTAATGAAGACCATAGGATTATTAGCCGGATGAATCATATGTTGAAGCTTTTTCTACGAGTAATACACAATAGAGTATACAATAAACTAGACGAACACACTGGTCAAACTCATGTTTGGTTTTAAGAATGGGTTCGGAACAAGAGAAGCACTTTTTTCAATACGTGTGCTAGTTGAAAGATGTAGAGATGTCGATTCTGATGTATACTTGTGTTTTATAGACTTTCAGAAGGCGTTTGACCTGGTGAAACATGATAAACTAATAGATATTTTAAGGTCATGTAATATCGACGATAAAGACTTAAGGATCATTTCAAACCTCTACCAAGAACAAAAGGCTAAAATCAGAATAAAAAGCGAAACATCTGGAAAAATCAATATCGAGAAGGGAGTAAGACAGGGATGTGTCCCTATCACCTTTGCTGTTCAATGTTTACTCTGAGAAGATATTTCAGAAAGCTTTGAAAGGCAACTCGGATGTTGAAGCCCTGCAACGCTTAATGGACCGAGTAACGACAGCCTGTAGAGAATTTGGAATGAAATTGAATACAAAGAAGACAAAAACGATGGTCATCAGCAAGCACCACAACAGAAGGGTGAAGGTCAATGTCGACGGAACAGATCTGGAAAGAGTAACATGAACAACGTATCTTGGAAGTAATCTTGATGAAACTTGGGACCACTCACTAGAGATAAGAATACGCCTGGAAAAGGCACGTACAATGTTTTACAAAATGCAAAAAGTTCTATGCAACCGTCAGCTGGGCATCTCATTGAGAACTAGAATACTTAAGTGCTATGTTTTCTCCACCTTGGTCTATGGTGTTGAAGCCTGGACAATGACAGAAGCAATACAAAAAAGAATCCAAGCATTCGAACTCTGGTGTTACCATAAAATGCTCAGAATATCCAACATGAGCCATACGACAAATGCGGAAGTCTTGGGGAGGATGAATAAGGAAAGAGAGCTTATGCTTATAATAAAAGAACGGAAAACACAATATTTTGGTCACATCATAAGAAATCAAAAGTATGAACTGCTCCAACTTATAATCGAAGGCAAAGTCAATAGCAAAAGAGGACCAGGAAGAAGACGCAACTCTTGGCTTAAAAACCTACGGCAATGGACGAACATGACCTCCATAGAACTATTCAGGCTGCTACAAATAAGATTAAAATGGGCAAATATAATGGCCAACGTCCTTAAGGATAAGGCACCGTAGGAAGAAGAATGAATTTTATGGCTTTATCTTTCTACTCTTCAGACCTTAGGATATCTGGTTCTATATTTGTTGGTTTGATTTCTAATACTGTGATATGATTAATGATAGACGTTTCCTCTTTATAGAGGAAGTCTTTTTCTGTGTAGTATTTCCAGTTACTAGAACCACGTCCATATCAATTACCATATTACTTTCATCCTCTATCTATAGCATAGTTTCTGGGTTTCAATTTCCGAGCAAGTAGCTTCACTTTCTAAAAGAGATCTCTTGTTTCATTTGCAATTTCCTCTTTATCTTTGTAATACCGTCATTAAATTTCTCTGGACAAGTTTTATAATTATAGACAAACAGTCTAACGAACTTCTTATTCTTCTTCTAATGGCACTACAACCCTTTGTGAGTCTTGGCCTGCTTAACAATGTTCTTCCATTCTGGTCTGGCCTTCCTCTTGTTCTGTTTCCCTGGGGCTTTCATATCTGGACTACTTTTACAGCTCGATTATCTGGCATTCTTTCTAGGTGACCAAGACAGTTTAGTCTTTGTGACTTTACAAATCTAACAATATCTGGGCTCTGCATTAGTTTATCCAGCTCGTGGTTCATTTTAATTCTCCACGAACCATCGCTGCATTGGGTTAATCCAAATACCTTCCTTAGTATTTTGCGCTCGGTTTAACGAACTGAGAATCAATAATACATTTTTCGACCATATTCTCCAGTATAAATATACCTTGAAAACTCCAAGGGCACAAATCTATGATTGATTTTATAGTTGCTAATAGAAAAATTCACCAAAGCAGATTCTAGATATTCAAACTTTAAACTCAGAAGAAGCAGGGAGTGAACACAAACTAGTACTAGCAAAAATCTTCTTCTTCTTCTTCTACTTTTTGTAGATCTTTCGATCTGTTTAATTCTGAAGCTGCCTCTGGTTAATTTCTTGGGAGGTAGATTGCCAACTATCCCTCCATCTTTTAGGTGTCTTCCGGGGGTCTTGAAGTGGGCGGATTGTTTTCTAGGGCAAATTTTTGGGAGTCTATTCTCATCCATTCGTCTTACATGGTTGTACCACATCCTCTTGCGCTGCCTTCCCCATCTTACAATATCTTGAATTTTGCACTGCTCTCTAATGTTTTATTTCTCACTCTGTCTCTTCTTGTTTTCCCCTCCAATATTGTTCTTAGGGTTTTCATTTCGGCAACCCTTAGCATCTGTTTTCGTTTTGTTGGTATCTTCGCGCACTTCTATGCCATATGTCATGATCGGTCGTATGCAAGTCTTATAGATTCTAATTTTACTATCTGTGCGCATATACGGATTTGACCAGACTATCTCCCGCAGACATCCTGACAGTGCAGATGATTTGTTGATCTGACTCCTCAGGTCCTTACTGGGTCGTGGTGCTTGATATATCTAGGATCAGATATCTGAATTGCATCACCTGTTCTATGGGTTGTCCCTCAACCACTAACTTACATCTGAGCGGATCTTTTGCTATTGTCATGCATTTAGTTTTGTTGGTAGATATGTTCATATTTAGTAGTCGGCTTGCAAACAAACTAGCAAAAACTAGCTTGCAAAAACTAGCAAAAATAAGAATGAAAATAACATTAAAGCATTTTCTGCAGGAAATTACCGAGGAAAAAATTCAATGTAGAATCATTTTGGAACGATTTCTACAAGAGAAACGTACCAAAGGAGGCTAGCACAAAAGATACATCTGAAACAAATAGACGACATCGAAGATATAAACGCGAGCTGGGAGAAAATTAAAAACAACATTGAATAAGTAGCAACAGAATCTCTAGGAAAACGCAAAGTAATACTAAACAAAAGAAACAACAGCAATTGTTGTATGGGGAGAGAAGCGAAAACATACGAAGAGCATGCAATATAGAAGACATAAATGGATGGATGACAAAACGGAAACAGGAGTGGAACGAACACATTAATTAATAGAATAGCAGAGGATAGGATCGTACTATAGTGTATTTTTATGTATAAGAGAGTAATAAAACAATAAATTATGTATGCAAATCCCTAAACTGTTGATACGGGTGACTCAATGAAAAACAGATATTTGTCAACAAGTTTACAGAAGTATATAGGAAAACAATTTTAAATTGAGTATGACCACCAGGTATAAAGGTTGGAGCAGAATAATACAATATTTGTGAGGGTTACTAATCCCTAAATAAGTTGCCAGTGTCGGAGTGATGGAGGTTAACAGGTACTAATGAATTTGCAAGAAATGTAAGATGTTTATTTTATTGGTTTATATATAACCAATAAAAGTTTATTAAGTACCTACCTATTTGCAAAATAAAGTTTAATTCTTTAGATAAAATAAAACGTTTTATTTTTATCTGAAATGAGTGCATTCCACGAAGTAAGGGTTTCAACAATCAAACATTTAATTTTTTAATTCC